ATTTCTTTCTGATTTCACAACAGCTTAGAGCCTCGCACCGGGCAATAAATAAAAGCTGCCGCCGCGCGTGAATGAATATTAAAAGCTCTTGCCGTGCGAATCTAGGTCAATGATAAGAGAGGCATTAACAGTGCTGTAAACGACGAAAATGCGCTGCTCTGCTTCGAAATGAGAAAAAGCAAATTGATGACATGCATATCTCGTTGGCACTGAATATGGACTTGGACGATGTTAATATCATTTTTGCTTGAAAGTTAACCAAATGGTGATTTGTGAGCTGTAAACTAGTATCGAAGCGATAACGACAACATTAATCAAAGATCGTTTCCGATTGCAAGATGTTAAAATCTTTTATGTATCTTGAAAAAGAATATACAGCTGATTAGCCAGAGCCATTAAAGTTACCCTTCAGTTTATTAACAATAAATCTCGTTATCATTATGACTGATGCTTTAATATAAATTCAAGGCATGTTTCTTTATTAGCTTTTTTAATAAATAATCCCTAAAATTAATAATGTCAATCAACACTTGTCATCTTTTATTTGTTTAATCTCCTAATGAAAGCTTTTATAATTATCACTTTTATTCGTTCTCATACACATTCCTCCGATAACGAAAGAAATTTGAGTTTTTTTTTGAATGAGCAATTGTGTATACGAGTTTTATTCGACAACAGAATGTTTACTTTGACAACATGTGCATGAAATGTCAAATAATCGATTACTGCCAGTTCGTATTTAATTTGATAATACTGAGCTCTGTAGACATTGACAATGACAAAACTCGAAGTCGCAGTGTACATTTTATTTCTCGTGAAAGGACGGCAATTTGGAAAAAAAAGCGTTTCGCTGATGTATCATCTCAATTACAAAGTACGCTGAGTCAAACAAGCCGTGTAATTACAGCTCGAAACAGCTGACCACCCAGCTCGACTTATTACGAAACACACACAGACGCAAAAAGATGTTCGAAAATTCGGAAAGTAGAGCAGTGACCAGACGGACCGTTAACCCGACTGAAGTTTTGCATTGTTATTTTGCGTCTGGCGTGTGTTCTGAAAATAGTCGAGGTTCGTCGCAGCCAATGGGTAGAAAATAAACGTAGATTCTTGGCATTGGTTCGTTACCGACTATAGAAAGCAACGTTGCCGCTGCCGTGCAAATCAATTACCTTTTATTGCGCATCCGTATTGTGGCTGCGGCGCCGTTCCGCCCTTTTATTTCGCTTATTTACTAGCCGCCTTTTTAATGAGACCGCTTTTTTTTTCATTCTTGCGCTACTGCGAGCACAGCGACTGCTCCGATAATAATGAAGTGGACGAATTAATTTTATCCCCTTCTCTATTCTATGTTCACATTGCTCTGGCGCTAATACGCCCGGCGATTGTAACTTCATCGAATGATAATTTAGTTTGATGGCTCGCTTGAGTTTCCAGATGCTCTTTATCAAGTGAAAATTTCTTAGAAACGAATTATTCTATAAAACGGTTGATTATTTTTGCACGAATGGCAACCCAATTTCCTCGGATGCTGTGCTTCACATCTCGTTTCTTTTTTCTCTCCGCTCGGCATTTTTCCGTGTCGACGAATTTCTCCTCTCTCTCTCTCTCTCTCTCTCTCTCTCTCTCTCTCTCTCTCTCTCTCTCTCTCTCTCTCTCTCTGCCTCGACTACGTTGCTCGAATTGATCGTATTCCAATCAATGCGGAAGCCGATTGCCTTGTTTATTTTTGCCAACTATACCATCGCGGCTAAACATCTTGTCCTTTCTTTTCTTCTCCTCCTTTTCTACCTTCTTCAGTCTATCGACAAAGTGTCGCATTTGCCTCGTTAATAACGTCGTCGAACATCTTGTTTGGGTTCTTGTTAACAGACATTTTTCTTTTCTTCGAAAACTGATGCTGCTTTTGATTTATTTTTAGCTGAGGTTCGTTTATTCACAGTCTTGCATGTTCAATTACTCGACGGAGACTCCGCTCGTCTTCTTTCGAAAAATGATCACGAATTGACAATGATTACTTATTTTTGCAAGTGTATTTAAATCAATAGAACGTAGATTTGTGTTGCTTCGATTTTCATTTCGAGTATTAATAATATTAAACAGACGAACAAGTAAACAATAGAGCTGTGACTTGGCATGCAGTATAAAGAATCGCTTCTACGAAACAACCTAAAGCAATTCCAAAGAGCTGTCACAGAGTACAATGGCTCTCCGTAGGAAAAACAGAAAAAAAAGCTTTCTTATAAGAACCAAACCGATTATAAAAGTTCGCCGTGAACCATTAGAAGCCACAAACGTGACTGCGACGCACACGCGTCCGCGTGTAACACAAAGTTTTGTATGACTCCGGGCGCTGGCTCTGACGTTGTCTTCGATCGCGTGGCGACGTGTATGCATGCGCGCGCGCTCAGCTGATTCTTAATAAGCGATGCAGCTGACTGCGCCATCGATTTCAGCATTATATAGCCGCGAATTCAACTGGGCTACGACGCAGTTATACTTCTGTATATACTTTTCTTTATTTACGAACGAAATCTAGCCAAAAAGTCAATAATTTCGTCTATGCCGTTGAATTTTATCGATTCGCGAACGACGAGAAAAATCGGAGAACACGCGATTCAGCCCAACGCCATTCGTAATCCTATATCGCAGCAGAGTCTGCCGTACGACAGTTGGAATGTTGATTTTCTTTGCTCCGCGTTGTTTGCAACATAATTCACTTGTCGTAGGTCGTGGCATGAAGCACTCGCTGCACGATCGGAGCTAATGCCACACACGCACAACAAGCTCGAAGTTGCGCGCGCGCTTTATGCTCTTCCCCTGACCTCTCTCCTAATATCCGGACGTTTACTCTCGGATTGCATCCAATCAATTTTGCACGAAACTCGCTATATTTATCCGCGCACGCTATGTTTCTCGCGTACGTACGTACGTAAACGCGCGCGCGACGGCGACGCTGACGACGACACCGTTCTTTTTCCCCTTCGACAGCCGAAGCCGAGGAGGAAGGGAAGAACCGATCTTTCATTGTTTTCTTTTCCGGCGGGCTACTTTCTGAATAGTCGCTATTTTCGTCATCGCGTGCGCAACAATTGTTATCAAAACTAGCAGATTGTCCGTCATCGGACAGCTTTTATGTACGAGTACATACGAAGTCAATACCATTTTATAAAACGCATCACCAGAGTCGTATTGTCACTTGGCAAATTTCATCGAATTTGATAAAAGGTTGGTTTCGAATGCGGCACGTGAACCATCGATCTTTTCCGATTCTACTATCACTGTGAATCGTGACATGCTTCGTACACCGAATTAAAGTAAATGATAGCCGACAGTAGTTCTCACGTGGTGGAAAATGGTTCCGCGACACACGCGCGACAAATCACTTGCTAGCCGTCATAAGCACATTTCGCGATAAAGCGACCTGCGAGCGCGTTTCTTTTTCAGTCTCGCCGTGGGAAAGTCTTGAGGGGGCTGCGCCGGAAGGCGCCCCGATACATTCTTGCGCATGCATATATGTATTTACGAACACCTACGCGTGGGAAACTCGTACGTAGGATGCTCCGTAATTTAAGCGCGCGCAACTTGACAAATATACACGCGCGACGAGGAGGCAATTTATGGAGCTTTGAGTGGACGAAAGTAAAACAACTCCGAATCCTCGACAACAATTTATCCCTCGCTTCACAATTAATCTTCGACGGCAAATAGTATTTTTGCCCTTATATATATATAACAGCTTGCTCGTAGCGCGCGCGAGCACTTCCAAATAATTGACTCCGCCATAAAGACTAGTTGTTCGACCGTAACCTACCCTAAGCTTCTTTATCCGTTCGCTTGCTTTTTATTTATTCTCTCTCTCGCCTTTGCGAGCCCCACTGATTTTTTTCTTCTCGTTTGTTTTCTCTCAGCCGCTTTATTTAGCAGTTTATTGGTCGTGATAAGAATGTGAAACTTAATCGGCTGTACATAGTTTTTTGACTTTTTACGGGGTGTACAAATCCGGCTTCTTTAAAGTGGCATATAGTATATTGTAAAGAGTACCTTTTCACTTCTCACAGTAAAATTCAAATAGATGTGTTGCAACTTATAAGAAGTTTAGCTCTGTTGCGTTGCCGCGTGAATTCAATTTTATTGGCGTGCAGTTAAAGTAAAGACAACCATCGTAAATTAAGGATTCAATGTCGGATGTTATATCTGAGCTTTCAAGGCGAATCCTACCGATACCGGTGAATAGCAAAGACTAAACATAATAATCCATACTTCGATACTATTCTAAACGATTGTTCTCATTTTAGCGCTTGCTCGTCTTTTCGCTCATCGTCGCTTTCAATTTCCTTAAAAGCTTACCTTCATCGTCGTCGCTCCTTACACCGTCCCTCTTTGAACGATAAATCAAATGAGCAGCAGTCCGCAGACTGCTTTCAAAAATCACCGAGCAAGAAGCATATATAAAAAGGAGGGGGTAAACGAATTGTTACGAGGCTGGAAAGAAAAATCCTCTTTGATCGACGTGTACCAACAGCGATGAAAAAAAAAAAAATGCAAAAATTGCGGGGCGATTAATTTTCAGCGAAACAGCCCCTTTTGTACGAAAAATTGACGGCCACAGCGCGCTACCGCAGGAAATCGCTTTGAAATATCCGCTTGCGAGGCTAAATTTATTAGAGCCGTGTACGTGCGCGCGGTGCCTGGCGGCGTGGCGCTAATGGGGTTCGTGGCTTCGCGACGATGGAGAGTCATTTTGGCGCTTTTGATCGCCTTTTCCTCGCTTAACAGGAAATTAAAAATAGATGCCGGTCACGGGATAGATCCTGTCAACTCTTTATTATTTTTTTTTTTTTCTCGTTTTTTCTTACTCACCGCCCGCGGTTATATACTTGTGCGCGTTGATGTGCATCGGCGTTATACTTCAGTTGGCGGAGGAAATTCTTCGCAGCGAATATTCGCGAATACTTGTTATTGTCATTTATCGAAAATATCCGTCTTGACGTTTGCAGCAGCGGCGAGACAGTCGACGAGTGTACCGGGCTGCCATTGGGCAGCGAGTTCATAGAAGAGCCGGAACGCAAGCATCAGCCACTCGGGATCGTGTTAGAATCAGCCTCGCCGACGACACCACCGACGACCACGACGACGAGCTCGAGCTCTTCTTCGAGGCCACACAAAAGCAGCCGTTCGTCGTCACAAAACGTCAGCTTGAACGGCAACGCCAACCCCGGCCGTGGCGCCTCTTCGCGAAACCACATGGAGCAGGAGAAACGTATGCGGCGAGAAATCGCCAACAGCAATGAGCGCAGACGTATGCAGAGCATCAATGCTGGCTTCCAGTCGCTTAGGACCCTCCTGCCGCACCACGAAGGCGAGAAATTATCCAAGGTTAGTGCGAATGCCATTTCCATTAGGATTTAGTTGGCGTATTGGTGGAAACTCGCTTTGGTTACACCTCGGATTATGCTCAAAATTTTTACTCCTTTTTAGCGAACAATCGGAGGAGCGTTTTCGCTAAAAAGGGACTCGTCGATGCTGTCTCGAAGCGACGCGAGCTTCGAAAAATTTTTAAGATCGCCAAAGTAACTTCACACTGACGACAGCTCCATGTCGCGCATTTTTTCTTGTTGCGAGTTTCCATCACACACGCAATCCAGTCGCGCAACTTCCTGCTGCCTTTCGGTATCCAAAGCACAAAAGGAGAAAAATAAAAAAAAAGCAAGCTCACTCTCCCGTTCACGTAGAAAGCTCGTAAAAAAATGAAAGTAGCGTAAAAAGCGTATTTTATTCAGTATCCATTCATTCATTCGCGAAAGAAAGCATATACGCGGCGGCGAGTTCAATGGAGATTTGTCGCCGCCGCTGCGAGAGAAGTCGAGTACCTCGGCTAAATACTCCTTGGCGCGAGTACTCGCGTGACGCGCACAAAGGGCTGACGAAAAAAAATAAAGAAACACGCCCTCGGGGGTTCTTGTGCACTTTTAATGGGCGCCCGCCACCCCCTCCCTTTAGAAAAGCTCCTTTTCTTTTCTCACTCTCATCGTCATCTCAATCATCATCATCATGCAAGTATGCATGAATTGTTTCGGCTCCCTCCAAATAATGTCTGGCAGTGATTGGATGTGGAGTCGATCAACTTTTTGTTTGGCTGTTTTTAATGTAGTTTTTGCAAGTCATTGTCATGATTGGAAGGGATAGAAAGGCACATGGAAATTGAAATCGACTTGTGTGCCAACGTGTAGAAAAGCTTATCGTTGTTGGCACACAAATATAAATCTAATTTTTTTTATCCTTAGATGCCTTTGATTATTAACACAATTGTCACATTATGATATGACTATCTGCTAAGGGATTCGGTGCGTACAATACTATTTTTCATGCACCGAAAACCTTGCGCAAACATGATAAATCATTACGCTGATCTACAAATCGTGGATCTATAATATCGATCTATACAGATATGATGATAATATATGTAATGGCCTTTCTGACTGGTCGAGGCAGTTAAAATCCATACTTATCTTGACAATAAGAATGACATAAGGAAGTGCGTATAAATACTGACTTTTCATGCATTATAGACAAAACCAAAACTTTGATCGAATATCTCGAGCGCAAAGAAACTTTGGGATGTGCACATATTCGCCGCAAAGCAATCAAATTCTCACGTGTATGCAACGTACAGCGTAGTTTGACGTTTGTAGATCGCGTTGTTACCAACAATAGCAACAATAGAATATAGACACGACGTACGTATTACAAAATCAAATCTATTACTTTTTCTTCTTTCATTGAAAACCCCTTTGTTTATTCTGCTAGTGCGAATGCAAACATTCCATGTGCTTTTCCTAGTAGGTTAATTCTTATGCATACATCTAGATGAATATGCAGCACACAAACACAGCAAAATCAAAGAAAACTCTCACAACTCTATTGTACTATTTTGCGAAAAGAAAAAAAAAAGAAGCAAGGATCGATTATCGACACTCGTTGCAGACTACTCGTTCTCGCGCGCGCGCGAGTTTTACAGATGATGATCGAACGACACATTCACCATCCTTTCTTTATGTTTTTTTTTTCTCACTGTATCCTTGCCTTTTCACGCTTTGATACGAGAATGACGCAATCAATCAAGAGAAGCTAGTAACTGTGAAGAGCTTTTGAAAAATTGTTCGTAACAGTTTGATTGAATGTTTCAAAGGATGTTGCTCGCTAAATCTTCACATGCGAAACGGATGTATGGATGTCCCTTTTTGTGTTGTTTTTTATTTTCATATGGATAATAATAATAGATTGTTAATGTGTAATTTACACTATCTCAGCACTGCATTACAATGCCTTATCAAAAGAACAACAGTGGCAACAGACAGCGGAAAGAAGGAAAGAGAAAATAAAGTTAAGATAAATTCGCAAAAGCGATTACGAAATTGAATAACAAAAGCCCCGGCTTAATTAAAATGTAAGCCGGGGAATCATTAGCGGCAAGCACGCTACGTTTTTTCTCTCTCCGTTTCGCCAGCTGTGACCATTTATCAAGCGACGCACACTTATACACTAGATTCGCGTCCGTATAATAACCGAGAGAACAACCACGGAGGAAGCTTTCTTCTTATATATGAGGCGATTAATATTTACATCGTAATACGATGTGTCCAAAGATACGTGAATTAATGTGATAAATCCATTCCCATGCCTTTTTTTTACACTTGGAAGTTAATGCATTTTTAGTGTCGGGAATTGAGATCGATTAAGAGCGTCGGAATCGCGTAATGAGACGCAAAGCCAAAATCGCCAGGATTCCACGAAAAGTCTACAAATAGCCAAGCGCGCGAAATTCGGGTCGACATTCCTCGCGGACTGAAAATACTTTTGTACTGATTTTTTCAGTTTGTACTGCAAAGGACATTGGTATTCAGCTAGTGCTTTTGCTCGATACTAAAATTACATTGTATAAACATTCATTATTACAAGATTGCACATGGTCAATGTTATTAGTTATCTGATTAGTTATTCCAAAGAATAACTAATAGAAAAACATAAATAACAAGTGCATAGTTGGATTGCTTATAGTTTGTTCGTGGGTTTAAAGATTAATAAAATATATTACGATTGAAAGGATAGAAAAGCAGTTCCATGACCATGCGTCATGAATTGTCCATATAAACTTCGCTAAGATTTCAACAATTATTTTAAAAATTAAGTTCTGGCTATTAATAACTTTTCGCCAAACCCGTTAATCACTTTGGGCTTGATTGTAAAAATTTGGACTTGATTGTAAATATGTTAAAAAAGAAAAAGCTAGTTATATAGTAGCTCTCCATAATTTGAATTAATGAATAATTTCGCTAAAATTTCAATCATTTTCAAGATTAAAGATAGAACTTTCAAGATTTTCGATTGTTTATCTATTCGTTACAATACTCACCTCCGGCTCGTGCCGTAAGCTCCTCTTGTTTCGTCAAAAAAGCTTTTGCGCACCCGTTAGGAAATGTAGCGCGCGGATGACACGTTAGCAACAATAGCAGTACAACGGCTCACACTGTCAACAGTGCAATGCTGCATTGTGCGATGTAGTGTAAATCGATAAAAAGAAAAACTGCAGGAAATTTGTGCGCTGTTGCGTCGTACACCGCCTGTTTACCAATTGAATGCCACCTGAATCTAACTCGGATACGCCTTTGCCAAGATTATAGATAAAGATGTTCGTACAAACATCCTGTACGTACCGAACTGGCGCTTGACTCGCACAAGGCACACAAATAACTAACTTATCCCGAGAGTATAAAAATAATATTCACTCGTCATTGAAGAAAATCTCATGAAAATCCACAACAACAAAGCCATTAAATAAAGCCCACGAAAAAATCTCTATATTAAAAGAGAGAGAGAGAGAGAGAGAGAGAGAGAGAGAGAGAGAGAGAGAGAGAGAGAGAGAGAGAGAGAGAGAGAGAGAGAGAGAGAGAGAGAGAGAGAGAGAGAGAGAGAATAGACCACGCGACACAGCGCGTTATGCGAGTGTATAGCTTGCGATAAGAAGGGGCAGCAAACTATAACGCAGAAACACATAAAACTTATCTGGAGTCGAGAGACAATGTAGTGATGCAAGCGTATAAATTCATTTGTGCCAGGCGGATAAAGGGGGTCCTATTTTTTCCGTTCAAGCCTCTCTCGTGGACGAGTCGATTTGTCGGCGATAACAGCAGGGCAACATTGTTCAGCTTCACAGAAAATATGTGTTGGCGCGCGCGTGGGTGTCTGTTTTCTTATCTTGTTAGCGAGTTTTCAAAGCGCGCGGGTGGAGGGGGGGAGAGGATCGAGTTTCGAGTGGCGTGTAAAGAGCGAGAATCGTTTCTGCGTGCGCCGTGCCATTTCACTTTACGCGCCGGCGTAGTTTTGCTCGTAGTTTAGCGCGAAACCTGTTTCCTTAGGCTGTCGTGCTTGCCGCACAACTCTATAGTTTATAGTGCCATCGTGAAAATGCCCCATAAAGATTTTGGATTTATCGAGCCTTTACGATTGCAGTTTATCGTGGACGTTTGAAAAAATTATCAAACGCGAATTGAAAATTCAACTTGGAAATGCCAACTAAAAATGTAATGAGCTTGCAACGTCTTTTTACGAGCCGGCGCGACGGCGACGGCGGCCAGTCAATGCGCATCCATTCATAAAGTCGTCTAGCCACTCCGACTGGCGTTATTTTCGCGAAGGAGGTTGCCGTTTCCTGCCCGCGCGCCGCGACCGTCGAGTATATACACGTGTGTGCCGTGGCCTTATACGCGAATCGTCAGGGGGGATATAATAGCGTAGGCAGCACGTGTAGTGCATTGCCGAGTGAACGGACGGATAAAGTCACGTGACGGCGATGGAAAGCCGCCGCCGCCGCCGCCGCCTCGCGCATAGTTACGCTCATTCATGACTCGCTGCCTCCGCCGCGAACGAGAGAGACGAGAAAAACCGGACAAGCTGCATACGCGTACGTGTGCATGTAGGCGATACCAACTCTGCCAGAGAGATTATAACTCACCCGCGACGATTGAGACGTTTTCAACAGCAGCGAGAGATGCGCGCGCTGTAATTTTTTTTGGCTTTGTATGGTTAATTTGTTTGGAAGTACGTGGAGGTTTTTCAAAGCTGAAAGTTGCTCGCATGAGTGATTTTTAGTTGGCTCGTGTGATTCCAGTTTGCTCCAATTTTTCTAGAAACAAGAAATTTGTCAAAAAGTGATGTTCGTTGCAAAGCAAAAAAAACGTTCTCTCACATTACTATTTTGCCAGTCAAAGAAATTTACAATAGCTTGTTAGTTTGTAAAAGAACTAGGTCACGTGCTCTGATTTTCTAAAACATATAGGACGAGAAAGCTAAAAAATGGAGAAAAAGAGTGAAACATA